TTTGAAAGTTGTTCATAGGGCTCTGGCCTAAATTTTTAAAAATACAAATTATCTCCTTTCTCTTACTGTGTAATTGCCACATTATAAGGAGGTTTATTTTTCAGGGACCAGAGGGCACTTCTGAAATATTCTATCACCTACTCACCCAGGAACACAAGAAAGAGAGAGTTCTAGAATGTTTTCTGGGGCTGAGGAATGTCTAACTTTACCATGGAATCCTACTAAAATGCCTTTGTAAACTCTCCGGGAAACTTAGTCTAGTATCCAACGATGCTTTGAAGTTTGTAACATTTTCAACTGAAAAGAAAGCTTGTACTCTTCCCACAACTAGAAGTTAGAGATAATGGAGAAATGAAAAGTGATTTAAGCCAAGACAAAGGTCTACAGAGGGTCATTCCTGAGCACTCTAACAGCCTCTCTGTGCACAGCAGGAAAGAGGGGCCCGCTGGTTACAGTCAGTCGAAGAGAAGACGTCACATGTGGAAGACACAACAGTGAGGAGGAAGCCGACACACAAAACTGGTGCAAATGGACGCAGCTGTGCGTCTAAACCAACAAATGAGGAGAGCACAGTCAGAGCCCAGTGGGCTTGGCTGGAAAGACCTCCATCAGGAATCATATGTAGATTTTTTTTTTTTTTTTTTTTTTTGCGGTATGTGGGCCTCTCACCGTTGTGGCCCCTCCCGTTGCAGAGCACAGGCTCCGGACGCGCAGGCTCAGCGGCCATGGCTCACGGGCCCAGCCACTCCACGGCATGTGGGATCTTCCCGGACCGGGGCACAAACCCGCGTCCCCTGAGTCGGCAGGCGGACTCCCAACCACTGCGCCACCAGGGAAGCCCCATATGTAGATTTTAAAAAACAAGAAAAGTAGAGACAGAGAAGAGGACTATAGCTAAGAGGAAGGTCAAAGAGGAAAACTAATGAATTCTTGTTTCTGATAACAACACAGACAGGACAAGCACATCCCTCACCTTCTGTGAGGTTCGGAGAAAGAATACCAACAAGGCCCACATCCCATACATGTCATACATCCTAAGGTTTCTCCTTACCCCACCTACCCCAAGCCAGGCAAACACTGCCCATGGGCACCTCCGACACCTGCTATGTCGAGCTCCCTCCAAGGCCAGGTTAGCGCTCCAGACAGATATATCACCTTGTTCCTGCTGACTTCTCATCCCATGGGGAGGGGCGTGGCTAGGGGAAAGCTAGAGCAGGGCCCCCTAAAACACAGATCCCAAGCTGGGCCCTCTTGTTTGGAACTACGGTTGACCCCGTGCTGGGAAAGGCAGCGGTCCTTGGAGAGAGAGCACAACAGCGGCAAAAGAGACCGAGGTCAGGTCCAGTTGAGAAAGTTAAGTGGCTGAATTCTAGTCCCTGTCCTACCTCTAAATGGATGATCTTAACCTCATCAGCCCTCAGTTTCCGCTTCTGTAAAAGGAAGTGATTAACAGGTAAATGAGATGTCTAAAGTACATTTCAAGTCTAAGCTCCTATAAGTCTACAAATCAGGGCTCAGCAGAGGGATAGTGGCTCTCAGCCTTACAGCCAACAGCACGAGGGCAAAATTAAAAATGAATGGAGCAAACTGGGCCACAAACACCTAAAATGGATGGGCTGGGCAGTAGATGTGCATCACTTGTGCAGAAGAAAAGGCTAGAAAGTGGGGGAAAGACAGGGTCTCTCAAGAATGAGACATGCAGCTCGGAGAGGCGAATGATAAGCAAGGAAGGCCAGGAAGACCCTCTGGCACCACACACGGCCTCGCCTGGACTTTGCAAGTGCAAATGTATATCCTGACTGAGCACAGGAAGCAGGGCCCCCTGGGAGACCACTTGCTCTCAGCTCACACATTTCCCGGTGGCATGCGATTCGCGGATCGCCTTAGCAAAGAAGTGTGAAGGTGCCTTCCCACTGCTTCGGCTGCTCTTAGGCTCCTGGGGTGAGGCTGCAGAAGTCTCCTCTCCTGTCTCCATCCTCTTCCAGCTTCCTGAGCTCAGATAAAAGGGGCTTTTTTGCCTAGAAGCCAAGAGCATGCTAAATGGCTGATGCTGGGGCGAGTACTAACTGAAGAGTTGGGATTGATTTGGAATCTGAGGGCTCATTCCCATCTGGATAGATGGAAAGTCCCTCATGGGGGGAGCACAGAAGTGGTAAAATGTAAAGAGGTATAATTTGTCTTTATTTTGGTCCACGTACCCACTCGCCTTTCCCGCCACATCGTGCCAAATGAAACAACGGCACACAAGGTCTCCCACCCCACTTCTGGTGACCCAGGGTCCTGTCCACTTCTCACAGCCATTTCTACCTCTGCCCAGCTACCTCCAAAGGACGCTAATACAAGAAGCGCGAACAGGACACAAACACAGGTGTGTGTTCACTGGGCCCTACCCTGTACTTAGTTCAAACACTGGGTCACTCACACGGTGTGACGAATAAAGGGTCTGAAAACCTCCCCTTACCACGGGCCCAAAACACCAACTCCTCCTGACTGGTTTAGGGCAAGAGATTGCCACAGTTCATGTTACAGTCACTCTGGCTACCGCAGTGTCCTCTGGCGAGGGGAAGCCCTTGGCAGGAACAGAAGAAGAAGGGAGAAGAGGAAGTCGGGGGCAAGGAAGGCCCTTCCTTGTGTGAACAAGAGTGGCTCTGCTTTTCTTCCCTGACTTCTCAAGCCACAGCACACTAAAAGCTGCTGGACTGAGAGATTATGACTCTAGGAACTCCCTCATCAGACTACCTGTGGGAAGACTGCAGGTTAATCAAGTAGCAACCATTTCCACCATAAAAGGTTGTCTACCAGGAGAGGTAAGTTTGGAAGAGGGAAGAGACGGCACTTGGGCCTCTGGGGGAACCACAGTGGAGGCTCCTACAGTCCAGGGACAAGCAGAGCACCAGTGGCATAAGATAGACGGTTTTCTCAGTCGGGGTTCCAGCAGGCTGAATGGCTGGGAAAACCTTCCACAGTCAGTGAAGAAAACAGAAGGAAAACCACCGCTGGCTCTCAGGGAAGAACAGAGGAGGATGTACAATATAAATACATATACATAAAAATTCCAAAATGTAAACATCTCTCTAGGTGAAAAGATTGTAATTTTTTCCCTTTTTAAACTGTATTTTCTAATTTTTTATACAATGGGCATATATTACATGTGTGGGGTTTTTTCTTTTTAAGTTTAGAAAAATATGATAGAGCAGGGTCAGCCTGGAGAGGGGAGGAGAGACCCTTTTTCCCAGGAAAGGTGTCAGCGACGCCGTCTCATCGCAAGCACCCACTGCTCTTTGTGCCTCTGCTGCCCCCGTGTGGCTTTGTATAGACATGACACCCAGAACCCCTAGACTAGACCCAACCTGGACCAAACTCCACGGTTATGTTGGACGGATTCCTCTTCCCCTGTTCACCAATTCATGACCTGGATTTGTCCCATTCATGAACACAGGACTTCTGCAACAGCAAGTGCTAGGACAGGGGGGTGGGAACACTATCAGCTCAGGATGCTAACAAGATGGATACAGACGCTGGTGGGGTTCAGGACCCTGAGAACCACTCTGGCAGGAGTAAAGGTGGAGATAAGAAGAGAGGAAGCTTCAGGAGACTAATGGCCAAAGGCAACCATGAAACCGGAAACCTGAAGTCGTACTGGAAACCAGCTTCTTTGCCTCAGGGGGTCAAGGTGATACCACATGGAGCTGGTGACATTTACTTACTTCTGCTGTTTGTCCACAGAGCACTAGAGGTGATTGCCCTTGACTCGCTATATGACCACACATTCCCAGAAATGCAGGGAAACCCAGCGCGGTCACAATGTCCACTTTTCCTACTGATGGTATTTTTACCTTATGACTAGATTAGCCTGCTGTTTGAGCAACAGACCATGAAGATTTAGGAAATGGGAGCCAAATTTCAAGTTATTATGAAATGACACGCAAATAGATTTACCCTGATCCCTTAACATTTGCAAAATTGTTACTGGCATTAGTGCCAAGCCTTAAAATGATGAATTAAAATTCTGCTTTACCTAAAAGTCAATTTGTCTCTGCTTGGACTGTCAGATCTATAACAACTAAGGGCAACAGGATCCCTTGACTAATGAACACTTTAATTTTCAAAGCATAGGCAGGCTCCGCGAGCGCGCGCACGCACACACACACACACACACACGATGAAACTCCCCAACCGCCATTTCTCAGCCCTATACCTTAACCCGTTTCTCTTGCGTATGACTCTGGGTAAAGCTCAGTATGCTTCTCCTACATCGAGGCTCCAGGACCAGATTGCCTGCCTTCAAATGCAGCCTTCTAGCATTTACTGCGTGACCTGCGTGACCTGCGTCACCTAACCTTTCTGAGTCTCAGGACCTCCTTTATATAATGGGGATAGTCATAGGACCAGCTCACAGGGCCATTAGAAGGTTAAATGAATTAATATCCATAAAGTGCTGAAAAGAGTACCTGGCACAGGAGGTGCTAGAGGAACTATCCTATAGTTATTTTGCAAAATGGGCTTAAAATGTAATTCATTAATTAACTTTTAAAAACAGTAATTAAAAAAACAAACTTGGTTTTCTCTCCATTTTTTTTTACTAAAAAACACCATTTATTACTCAAACTGGGTGACAAAAAAGTGGTCAGGCCCTCTTTGTCCACCTCTTAAGTCTGATGTCATTTTCAGGAGAATCGGATTCATTGACATTATTCTTGTCCAAGCCTCTTCCTTAACCCCCTCATCATAGCCCTTATCAGAATCAGCCTCTTCATCAATTCCACGTATTTCAGGAAAAGTAAAGGACATGCATGTGTGTGTGTGTGTGTGTGCGTGCACACACACACACACACGGGAGGAACAGGTGAGAGAAGTGCGACCATCCTGAGCATCCTGACACAACCATCCTTTCAATGTCATCTCCTCCCTTTTCCTCCCAGCTCTGGCCCTGGATCTCCCCCTCTTTCCCCACCTTCCATCAGGCAGTTGTGTTGGTTCCTCACGCCAGGGACCCTCACCTGTTGGTGTTCTCCAGAACCTCCACCTTCTTCCGGAGCTCGGAGTTCTCCGTTGAACAAGACTCCACCCTACAGAGGAGAGAGAGAGAGAAAAATACACTTAGTTTTTTATCGGGGAGCAAACACTAAGCCAGGAGCTAGGATGGAGGCAGGTGGGGTTGAGAGAAAAAAAGCCAGGGAAGGGCTTCCCTGGTTGCGCAGTGGTTGAGAGTCCGCCTGCCGATGCGGGGGACGTGGGTTTGTGCCCCGGTCCGGGAGGATCCCACGTGCCGCGGAGCGGCTGGGCCCGTGAGCCATGGCTGCTGAGCCTGCGCGACTGGAGCCTGTGCTCCACAACGGGAGAGGCCACAACAGTGAGAGGCCCGCGTACCGCAAAAAAAAAGACGGGGAAGCAGCTACTCTAGGGAGGTGAGGGAGAGAACTTTGCCAACCTGAGTTGGGGAAAAGGGTGAGTAGACAAAAGAAAAAAGAGAGAGAGAGATGGGTAACCAGTGCCTCAGTAATGGAAAATGAATAGGGATGGTACAAAACATAAACTTCTTTTAGGGTGTTCCAACCTTGATTTCTCTCGACTCTTCCCTATGGCTCTCAATGTCCATCACAATTCTCCCTCTATGCTACAGGGTCTGGATGCTGCTGGCTGTACTCTTGACCTGAAGGGCTGACAGGAAGCCCAGGGGCTTGGGGCAGGGGGAGAGTGAAGAACAAGAACCCGGGACCTCAAGACAAGGAATCCAGGTGCCGGAGCAGGCATGCCCCAAAGAGGCAATAAAGAGATTTTCATCGAAACATCTTGACCCTGGATACCTACAGACAATAACAAACAGAATGGGACTGCTTAATGCTATATTACCAACACCTAAATCAGGAGGAAGAAACACTGACTTTCAGTAGGAACTTCAAGAACCAGCCAGGATCCACCAACTGCTCTTCTCACCAGACACACATAAAGATTCATTTCTAGGTCCCAGGACTCATTCCAATGGTATTAGTTTGCCAGATGGGAACTATTTTCTAGGGCTAATACAAAATTGTATTTAATTTACGTTTTTCTAACAGCCCTCCTGATATTCCAGGCTATTCAGAAGAGCAAAAGGTGCCTTCAAGTGTTTTTGTGAAAAGTCACTCACCTATAACACAAATTATAGTGGACAGAAAAAAAAGAACGCCAACCTGCTTTACTTACTTCATCCCCTGTTGCTTTCTCTAGCGTGCGAGGGAGTGTGGCCAACAGGAATTGATTAATTAGCGCCTCTCCTCTGAGGAGTCCAGGAATATGCATGAAGGTTAGCATTTGTACTTATTTGAAAGGAAGTCTTCAGGGACTTAAGGACCCTTGGTTGGAAACTGTGCGGTACAAATGCCTACTAAGACTGAATGTACTTTTTATCACCTGCCAGATCTATAAGCTTTCCCCTCTAAAAACCACTAGGTGGCAGGCAAAACATAGCTGATAAACCAACGGCCTTTGCCGGGGTCCAGACCAAGAAATTGAACCCCCTTCTCATAGAAAGCAGGGCCCCCCTGCACTTACATTTCTCTACATGAATTGCTCAATACACACAACCACTTTGGCAGGAGGCTTACTTTTTCTCCAAACTGTCCATGTATTCCTTCTTCTTCCTCCTACTTTCCTGGGCAGAAATCTGCAATGGAAGGGGAGAAAAAAGGATTATGTTCCAGCTATCTCAGTAAACCAGCATGACAAGAGGCCATGAGCAAAGAAATCACAAAAGCCCTGCTCACTTTTGTGGCCACTTCCCATTTGTTTAACCTACTGGCTCATCTACTAATCACCTCTTCTGTCCTCCCTGGTTTCAACCAGCTGATGTTCTCATCTACTTTCCAACACTAGGTCCCCAGTGAGAAGGACAGTGGTCCAGGAGTCAGAGTGGAACATGTGGGTCACGAACCATCTGTATGGCCTTAGATAAATGATTTCAATTCTGTGGACCTAGTTGGCTCAACTATAATACATAATATAAGCCAGTTGGGGTTAGTCGTATAAAAATTCCCTGGCGGTTCTGTACATGGACGAAAACTTTTAACTCTAAACTCTTTCCTTCCTCTCTCTTTGTCCCCTCCCTCCTGCTCTGCCCACGCCCTAGCCATGCCCCAGGGCCTCTGCACCCCTGATCCCCACTGTAGGGGCCTAGGACTAGGAGACTGCTGGACCCAGGTACAGAACAGTGGTCTGCAGAATTTTTTATCAAAAACCTCTATCAAGAAAAAAAATTAAGCAAGCACCCGTAATACATTTATATTTATTCATTTATAAATTATACACATGCCTACTAGAGGGAAATATTGTGTATCTAATAAAACAAATTTTAAAGGCTGAGATTTTTTCAAAATGTAAATGGGAGTTCTAATATTTTCTTCCCGCCCCTGTATGGGTCATCTTAGGCACCACAGAGTGTGCACGCCCGACCTGGAGGCCCACTGACCAGAAGATGTATGGGGAGGTCTGGGGGAAGACAGGGGCAAGCCTTGGTCCCCACCACGGGACGGGCCAGTGTTGGCCACCGGGAAGGGAGGGTGGGCATGCTGGCCGGGTTTGCTCACTGTCTCTGCTCACAGAAGTGCCTGCATTTGAAGGGCTCACCTTGTTCTTGATTTTCCTCCGGATTTTCTTCAGGGCCTTCTCCTCTGATTTTGTCAGGGGCAACTTTGTGGGGATGGGATAGCCCTCGGCGATCAGGGTTCTCTTCTCTTCCTCCGTCAGGACCAGGGGGCCTGATCCCTGCAGCTTCTGTGCAGACCAAGGAGCAGAAAAGGGTCAAAGAGGAAAAGCCGGGCGTGCCGGAGAAACACCTCCTGAGGGCTGAGGAGGGTCTGTTAGGATGTCTTGCCAATGGCTAAGGGAAAAGGAGGCCCATCTCTTTTGGTGAGAAACGGGCACTTTGAAGTGGAAGCAAAAATGCAGAAGACACTCGTGTGAGTGTTACAACCCAAGGATTATAAGGGAATGGGTAAAGAAACCTCCACCCATTATTTCCCAGAAAGTACCCTGCTGGCTAAAACAACAAAATTAAAGGATACAATTCATTTCCCACGTCCCTAGAGATTTCCTGTCCTCAGAGTGATGAAGGATTCACTTGGAACTCTGTTGGCGGAAAGTTTTGTTGTTCTCCTAAAGATGCCATTTGGCAAGATGCTCTCTAAACACTAGGAGTTGCTTCTTGACCTCTACTTCCAGCTAAGGGGCCAGGGCTCCTAGGGACACACCTGCAGGCATGTTCCATGAAAGTCACTGGTCAGCACAGTCCCAGACTCTCCATCATCAGTGGAGATGAGAACTGTAGCTCATCTAATTTCACCCATATTAGGACAATGTGTTTATAATTAGTCAAATAAATGGAGTACCTACTGCATATTAGCTCCACATTAGATGCACGGAAGAATCAAAACAAACTCTGTCTCTTAAGTAGCTAATGATCGAGACCGAGACTAAATTGAAACACGTGAAAGAATGAGAGCAATTAAATGCTAGACTGTAATATTCACTCAAGGTACATTAAAAATATGAAGAAGGAGAACGCTTATGTGAGTTTGTGTGATAAGGGAAGGCTTAGGGTAGCAGATAAGGCTTGAATTGGGCTTCCTGAAAGAAAGGGGGTGATTTACACAGAGGAGGGCATTACAACAAAGGCAGTATTGTAAAAAGTAACTGAAGAAGCCACTCTGCGTAGAGGGGGTGAGGAGTTCTGGAAGCAGCGGCAGGTTGGGCACGTAGGAGGGTGTTTGTACCCAGCAGAGGTATGAGGGCTTGATGCCCACAGATAACAGGGAAACAACACAGATGCTGAGCCAGTGTATGATATGGGAAGGATTTCCTCCATGACCACGTGGAATGGATTAACTGTGGTAGGACCCACAAATCCATAGGATGGACACTATTTCAGTAATCAAAGGGGTGAAGGGTTAGAGGAGAGAAGGCAAAGGTGGAGTGGAAAGAGTTAATTCCCTGGCCCTCGGTAATAGTGATATATAAGAAGGTGGCCACAGATCTAGAACTTTCTGAGTTTCTCACACAGACTGAACTCAAATTTTCAAAATTATGTTAATTAATGCATGATTATTCTAAGAATTTTTAAATAACTCATTTCATTCAAATTTGCTCTATGTGATATTATAAATTCAGTAAGGCTGACTAATTTTTAAATCCTCATAGAAATCAATCGACTATTCAGAACAATGAGAAGTTAATTATCTAACCCTAAATTTTTTTTTAATTTATTTTATTTATTTATTTTATTTTATTTTTGGCTGTGTTGGGTCTTCTTTGCTGCACGTGGGCTTTCTCTAGTTGCGGTGAGCAGGGGCTACTCTTCATTGTGGTGTGTCATTGTGGTGGCTTCTCTTGTTGCAGAGCACAGGCTCTAGGCATGTGGGTTTCAGTAGTTGTGGCACACAGGCTCAGCAGTTGTGGCTCGTGGGCTCTAGAGCACAGGCTCAGTAGTTGTGGCACATGGGCTTGGTTGCTCCGCCGCGTGAGGGATCTTCCTGGACCAGGGCTCGAACCCGTGTCCCCTGCATTGGCAGGCGGATTCTTAACCACTGCGCCACCAAGGAAGCCCTACCCCTAATTTTTATTTGGAAAAATTATATATGTGAGGGATGAATGTTGACTCATGATTTCCATCCTGAGTCACTGGGTTAAGAGTTGCACCACAGACAAAAAGGGTTAAATTATATTTTTGAGCTTTAGACATCAACGCATTTACTCTCAGAGCAATTTTTCAGTTCATCAAAGATTGCTTATTTAAAAAATAAATTATTTCCTATCATAGGTCATAAAGACCACCTAAATTGATGATAAATATTTGTGATGCAATTTTGAGAAGAATAACAACCCATTTTTATTCCTCATGTTTGTAGCTATAAAAAAGAAACGTGAATAAAAACTGGAAGTGTGCACAGGAAAGGAAGAGAATGTGTTAGCATGATGAGGTCACAGGCAGTTCTTAGAAAATGTTCTTTAAGACTGTCATCCCCCTGCTTCAGCAGTTAGACCTAAAACTTCCTACAGGCTCCGAATGGTACGCACGCTGGGTGAAGGTCCGAGTGACAGAATGGGGGATGGGGGTGCAGGGATGCAGGGGACACTCACGTGCGGTGCGGTGAGGAGTGGGGAGCTGGCAAGTGCCGAGGGGGCCCGCGCTGGGGCCCTGGCGGGGCTGTGGGTCTGCGGCAGGCCAAAGGGGTGCAGGCGCGGGCTGGGGCTCAGGCTGCCCTCTGAGTCGCTGCTGTGGCTGCTGGGAGGGGTGGGCGGTAAGTGCAGGTGGTCCACGGAGGCTGAGGGGAAAAGAACGGATTGCATCCATCAGGGAGCAACAGAGCAGGACTTGGGGCAGTTCAACATTCAACATCCCTACAGCAGAACTCAGGACAGCCGAACAAAAGAATGAGGAATCTCTGTGTGTGGATATGGAAAGGCCTCCAAGATGTATTACTATTAAGGTTAAATTTTAAGAGTGTTTCTTTCAAAAAATTTGAAAGGTTGCACTATTGGGTTCCAAGTCTGCAGTCCTTGATATGGCCTCGTGGCAGATGCTCTTGGCTTGATTTTCAGGCTTTATTTGGGATACATTTTTGGATTGGGTTTTTCAGTTTTACTTTGGTCAATGAGGGTTTCAGTAGATATGACGTTATTGTCTGCTGGTCTCAGCCTATAGAGGAGCGGAATAAATCAAGGTGCAAAACAGTGTATAAAGTAGCCCTCCTTTTGTATGAAAAAGGAGAGAAAGAGAATACAGACCCCCATTTGCTCGTATCTTCGTAAAGAAACTCTGGAAGGTATATAAGAAACTAATAAAATTATGACGTAATGGGGGCAGGGGAAATTACAGTAAGTAGGGACGGTGCTGGCATAACCTTCCCTCTGTTCATTTCATATAGTTTCCATAGTTTGACTTGTAAACCATGTTAATGTATTAGGATCTTTTTTTTTTTTTTTTTTTTAATAGCAAAAGCAGGGAGCCCCATGAGTGTTTGAGAAAAGCTCATTTGTTTCTGGAGGAATGTGCATGGTAGGGTCCATAGGCCAGATGCCAGGCATTCTTGATTCAGATAATACCCAATCCATCTGTGGATAGACAGGTAGGCATTGGAAGACAATTATTGGGGGAGGACTTTGTCTCCCACAAAGTCCTCCAGCATCTAAGCATCCTTCACCTGTCCTCAGGGAGACACCCACACCCTCTGCTGGGGCCTCTGAGCCTTAGCCGGTGCCAATCTTGCATCTCCAGGGCAGGAGGGATGGGTTGCCGAGGGAGGAATCCACTCTGGAGTTCAACCTGACAAACGAGCTTTGGGGTCTCACTCTTTTTCTGACCTGCAAATCTTCACGTTGTGCTGAAATACCTTGACAGCCAGCTGCTGTTACTGAGCCAAGGAACATGACCCTTGGGTAAACCTTTCACTCCACACCCCTCCTGGAGCCCCCAGGACAACAGAGCCCTGAGTGCAGCGGCTCTGAACTGGGCAAGGAGCCTGGAGGCCTCATACACACCTGGCCTTCCTCGGCCAGAGAACAGCTCGGGGCCATGGAAAGGCCTCGGTCTCCTGCCTGATGTACTGTGAATGGGAAGAGACTTTCTGACACACAGCTACTCACCTAAGAGAAAGGATTCCCCCACAGCTGCCTTTGGAGGTGACAAGCTGCAACCAGACGGCTCTCTCGCCCACTGAGACACCTGAATATCCTAGGTAACCACAGGTGATGTGTCTCTCTCTGCCACGCCCCGCGCCCACTCCCATTCACAGCACACTTTCGTTCTCTCTCTCTCTTTCTCTAACCCATCTCTTTTCTCTTTCTAACATACTGCTTTTCACTAGATGCCTCTCCGCCCAAGAGCTCCCTGGTTTTTTAGAGTCCATGGGCACTCTGAAAGCTAAAGAATATTCTAAAACAATCCTATGCATCTCCACTGCCAACTCTTCTGCCACCACTTCCAGGCAGCTAAGGAGGGTAGGTATGCACCTTAAACTTATGTGCTCACCTAGGAAGGAGTCCCAAGCGTGTTAACCAAGTTTTTCCCAATGCCATGACGACCTATGGCACTCTGTGGTGTCAGATGAATTAAGCAAGGAAGCCATCAGACTGGGGTGGCTCCAGTGCTCTGGTGGCCCTACATAGGCAAACCAAAATCTAAGCCTCTAAATGCTTCAAGATTACCAGACTGAAACCTAGGACAACCGGTCACAAACAACCAACTTGGCTTTAAGTTATATCCAATCAATGATTTCCTTACTTTGGGCTTTCCTGGTGGTGCAGTGGTTAAGAATCCACCTGCAGGGGACACGGGTTCGAGCCCTGGTCCGGGAAGATCCCACATGCCGCGGAGCAACTAAGCCCATGCGCCACAACTACTGAGCCTGCGCTCTACAGCCCGTGAGCCACAACTACTGAGCCCGTGTGCCACAACTACTGAAACCTGTGCGCCTAGAACCCATGCTCCACAACAAGAGAACCCACCACAGAGAGAAGCCTGCGCAGCAATGAAGAGTAGCCCCCGCTTGCCGTAACTAGAGAAAAGCTTGCGTGCAGCAACAAAGACCCAACGCAGCCAAAAATAAAATAAAAAATTTAATTAAAAAAAATAATAATTTCCTTACTTTGCTTCCACCTTTTCTTTATAAAAGTCTCCCCCCCAGCTCCTGTCGGTGGAAACTTGTAACTGGTTTGGTGCTACAGAATGTAATTAATTTTTGCTCAAATAAGTTCTTAAAATTTTTAATTTTTTAGAGTTTATCTTTTAACAATGCTTATCTTTTAACCATGGTAAACAAACAAACAAGCAAACCAAAACCAAAACAAAACAAAACCCAGGAGTGGCCAAACCTAACAGGGGCTCCCGCTGTCTGCCGTGCGGTTAGTCTGGAGAACTAACCAAGAATACCAGAGCTCACTTGTCCCTTTCACTAGGCACAGCCCTAATTATTCTAATACCTTTCTCCTTTTTCCAAGCAGAAGATGCTCCACAAAAAATGAAAATGGCATGGCAGGAAAAGTGAAGCAAACTCGAATCTCCTCTTACTTAATTATTAAGAGCTACTGCCCTGGCCACAGGTGCCTCGGTATCAGATTTCTAAATATCACTTGAAATGTTGCTCTTGGATTACTTACTGACAGGGCTGGGGACAACTGGCTACTTTGCCTAGAAGCCCTGTTGCATTCAAGGATATTTAATTTCCTCCTCTCTGTACATCTAGGATAATGAGGAAGGACGGCCATTTACTTTACCCTTGAAATGTTTCTCCTCCAGTGATCCCAGATTCCAAAGCCACTAGGGGGTTCACTGGTACAGCTGTGACATTTTCTGAAGCATATTGCAACACAGATTTAAAAAGCAACATGCATGTGATAGTTGTAACTGGTGTCACAAAAATGAAAGGAATTACTTTGGAGCAGTATATAAAGCTGAAAGGCACTAAAACGTGTATCACTCAGTGAAAAGAAATACTGTCTCAATATGGATTTTAGTCAGTATTTCTAATTTTAAAAACAGAATCCTTTCTTTACTGATGATAAAGGGTAAATGCCAACCTTGATTAAGTTGTCACAGATCAAGTCCTGAGTATGTTTCTGGTGGAATGAAGGTAGAGTTTGTTTCCCTGAGCACTGCCACTATGTAACATCTGCTCATTACATCTACACCATAGCACGGATACCCTTCCCATGACAAGTGCATATACTAATTTCCTATTTGTCGACCACACCAATGAGCTACCCTTATAGCCTTTTGCCAAAAGTATAAATAAAAAGGGAGGGGATGGCGTGTCTGAAGGCACAGAATTAAGAGCAGGATCTGTGCAAAGTAACTCAATTAAAAAGGCTGAGAGGGACTTCCCTGGTGGCACAGTGGTTAAGAATCCACCTGCCAATGCTGGGGACACGGGTTCAAGCCCTGGCCCGGGAAGATCCCACATGCCACGGAGCAATTAAGCCTGTGCGCCACAACTACTGAGCCCAAGTGCCACAACTACTGAAGCCCGCGCGCCTAGAGCCCGTGCTCCCCAGCAAGAGAAGCCACCGCAACGAGAAGCCCGCGCACCGCAACGAAGAGTAGCCCCCGCTCGCTGCAACTCCTGAAGCCTGCGCGCAGCAACGAAGACCCAACGCAGCCAAAAGAAAAAAAAAAAGAAAGAAAGAAAAGAATAAAAAAATGCCAAGAGAGCTTCCTAGACTCCGTGAGACTTAGGGGTCTACGTTCAGGATTCCTGACTATGGGCTTCACACAGGACAAGAAAAAGACTGACACAGAGAAAGAAGAAAGTGAAAGTGTGATAACCCCAAGTGTGACACTACTTAACTCTAAAAGGATGGCAAGAAGCCCAATAGGATGCAGGAACAAAGGAGGCTCCTTGCAACAACTGTCATCTGAAATCAACATTTTAAAACATTGAATTGGTCAGACAGATAAACCGTGAATTCACTTCACAAAGGGTTTAAACTAGAATTGTTTGTTGTAAGTAGGCCAGGTGCCTTTGTGGATATGTGCCTATTTGCCTCTACTGATCATCACTCCAGGACAGGGAGCTGGGTTTTATCCACACGATGGCTTGAGGGCAGCGGTTCCCTTGTCCCCTTGTCAGCACCCAAGTCACAGCAGTCTACGAACATGCTGAAAAGTCACCCTGCCTAGGAGTAAAAGTTAAAGATTTAGCTGGAAAAACTTAGCTTTCAAAGTTTGTATTTACAATCGAGAACGGAGCTATTTCATAAAGCAAGTTCTGCCTTTGGTACAATCAAGCCCAGCACTGTCTCGCACATTCCCCATCTCTTTAGACGGTGCACCCACATCTGTTAACCCAAAGGAGAGAGTGGACAGACCTTCCTTAGGAGAGAAGTTTAGGAACTGATCCACTTCATGAGGCTCCAGCTTAATCTTAGGAATAACTGTCTGGCACGAGGAATCAACCTAAAGGAAGAATTTCAAACACAGTTTTTAAAAACCAATAACAAACCTGAAGAAACACCCCAGGGAGTTATTTGTCATCTGTGTCTTCCTCCCAGGGCAGCCCTGCTTCTCTGGGGCTGGCGAGACCCAGCTGAGTGCAGGCTGCTTCTTGGACAGGGAGGTGTTTTAGTCCTTAACCTTTCCCTCATTGCCAAACCTGGCAATACAGGTGATGGAACCCTCAGAATTCTAAAATTAAGAACCCAGGGCTAGGGAGTTCCCTGGTGGTCCAGTGGTTAGGACTCAGCACTTTCACTGCTGTGGCCTGGGTTCAATCCCTGGTTGGGGAGCTGAGATCCCACAAGCCTCATGGCACAGCCAAAAAAAAAAAAAATCTAGGGCTCACTTATCAGTGCTTTCTTTCTATTGTTTTTATGGACCATAAAGGCCTTTTATCACAAAATAGTCTGGTACATTTTTAAGGGTCATGGCCTCCAGCAGTGTGTCCTGCGGTAGGAACTGTGTGAACCCAGCTGCATCCATTCTCTCCAGGTTCCTGACAACTGACAGCAACTAACCATGAAACACTGAGTACAGGAAGGAGGAAAGGTATCTGGCCCGTGCATGGGGAGCAAGGCCATGACCCTGCCCTTTCTCAGTGACATGCATGAACATGAACTGAACTAAAATCTCATGGAGCAAGGAGACTAATACAGACTCCAGAAGCCTAGTCTGATTAACAGACTCAGGCAGCTATTGAGAAGGGAATTCTAGAGGGCAGTGCAGAGGTGCTCTGTCCACAATCCCTCATCTTCCACACGGATGGAAGGTAAGAGCACAGGAGTGAGTACTCAGCAAAGCCTTAGTGGCCCCACCACTGCTGTGCTACCTTTTCCTGAACAGGTGGACCACTATACCTCGCTCAGAGGAGATCTGACTTAAAGATCGTCAGCAGAGTCATTGTTTATAACCTGTGACTTTGAACTTAAGGAAAGTTAGGACTGGATTCCAATATCTGGAAGAAGATGTACAAGTATGACTCTGGTCCATCACCAGACACTGAAATACCCAAAGAGAAGGTGGAGTAAAACTAAATCCTACTTGCCGTAGGTGTGGAACTGAGCAAGGAAGAAATTCCAGATTTCTTACGTTTTCCACGGGGAATACATTAGGAATTGGTAGGTGGGAGATCCCTGAATTAAGTCAGGGTAACTGAGCACTACACAGGAACTAGCATTCCCTATTGCCACGGCACAGAAAGCCATGGATCGCGTCATCATCATAACCACTCCCTTTCCACCGGCTTAAAAATCAGTTCCAGGGAGAATCTTTTTTCCCCATGGATATCTATGTATTTTTAAAATTTTGTAATAGCAATCATAGAAAAAATGAAATGAGACTTGCTACCAATTTTTCTGGAAATGCCTTTAAAGGAAGTGATGTAAGCAACGCTGACACCAAATCAACATATCCTAGATATATACATAAATACATTTTTACATACATACATACATATATAGTTATATATCTTTAAACATATACAACCAGTAGCTCCAAAAAGATTAAGTGCCTTATTGGAGAATGAGGATCCGTATCTTTTGATCTAATCTGTTTATATGGAGGAAAAATGAGTATACCCCAGCGTTCATTTCCAGAGGGGGTTCCTCCTTTTCAAAAGGGGTAGAGATGGCAGTGATGGTCAGAGTGACAGACGGAACTAGTCCTGAGGGCGGCTCGTCCGTGATTGGCTCTGTCTTGATGGTTGTTGATGGAAAGTCTGTAGACAGGTACCATTTCTCACTCTCCACTTCATCTGTGGGAAAAAGATAAGCACACATGTGAATCTGTTCAGGGCATCAGGTATAAGTAAAACAAATGGCACTGACCTTTCTCCTCAAAAAGAAGCTCCAACAAAGAATTATTGTGGGTAGAATAAAAGGAAATAAAATGAGGATGTGAGAGAGGAGATAAATGGGTGAAGAAATGAATGGCAAAGTGAGAATCTATACTTGCATTCACTTGAGTGTAAGGATGCCTAAAGCAACTCTGGAAGGATACATATAAAAGAAAGAAACTAGGCTCTCCGGGCAGAGCAGGAAGGAGACTAGGTGGTTGGGGAATAGGACAGGAGAGAGAATTTCAGTGTGTAGTGTTTTATACTTTTTGGTTTTCAAACCAATTAATATATAGAAAGGAAAGAAAGAAAGAAAGAAATGCATTTTAAAATAAGAAGGAAAGAAGCGAATGGTTGACAACCAGGGTCTCAGGAGACAGGACTGGAGACAGGTCTCTGTCCTTCTCCCCAATGGATGGTTATTTGTTTTCTTCTTTTTCTTCTCACTCCCCGTCATTGGTCCTCGTCTGCTTCTCTACAACGCCGCTTATGCCTTACACCTGACCTAGACTTCCAGAATTTTACTTAGCCCTCTAAGAAACTTCAGAGTTTGTAACAGACATCTGCCCCTTGCTGAGATGGATGAAATGTTCATCCAGAGGAAAGGGCGGCATCTTGTCAAGTCTGGTCTTGGCTTGCCTCTGGCTTTCGTGACAATCACAGGCCTGGGGATCACAACAAAGCAACAGTACCGAACAGACAGAAGCACTTCCATCACTCAATGACATTCTCCTGGGAGCCTGCATGGTACCCTGCATTTCTTACCAAGTTACATCAGAGCAGGTACCTCAGCATAGCCCTGGGAAAGGAGGGAGGAGGGCAGGAAAGGGAACAACAGCAAGAAGGCTGCAAACAGGTGTAGAACGAGAGAAAACAAGTCAGAGATTCCCAAAGTCAGCACTCCTCACCTGTTACCAGTTTTACTAAAGCGAGACTAAAATAAAGCAAAGATATGCTCCCTTGCTTTATGAAAACGTTTAAACACACACACACACACACCAGGTGCTTCATGAACTATTACTGTCCAGGGGAGCAAAGTCATTCACATTATGAATTATTTTACACTCAAGAATTGGGCTCAACTTTTCTTATGAAAAGGTACATGAACATCATTCAGAACTGTCAAGAGGGCAGTGGAAGAGTGGGCACGGAAGCTAAAAACTAAAGTTCGCAATTGTTAAGGTTGTGTTTCTTTTTTTTTTTTTTTTTTTTTTTTGCGGTACGCGGGCCTCTCACTGTTGTGGCCTCTCCAGCTGCGGAGCACAGGCTCCGGACGCGCAGGCTCAGCGGCCATGGCTCACGGGCCCAGCCGCTCCGCGGTATGTGGGATATTCCCGGACGGGGCACGAACCCGTGTCCCCTGCATCGGCAGGCGGACTCTCAACCACTGCGCCACCAGGGAAGGTTGTATTTCATAAGCAACTTCCTTCAAACACAGGGAAAGGTTAGATTCACATGCATCATGGAAAATAATTTTCCCCCAAATCCAATTTCTAATTGACTCAATTAATTATTCCAGCCCCAATTTATTTCCTGAGGTCAAATAAAGACGGGCAAGACTTAGGTTGGTTGAAGGTGTTTGCTTTTAGAGCTGGTTCTATGGAGCTGCTGAGTGCTATGGGGTGATGGAGGATTTCCATCATTCTCGGGGTGTGCGCCACATCCTGGCCGAGCGGGAGGGGCAGGTAACAAAGGTCCTTTTGAAAGCAGCCAGAGGATGGAGACCATACTGTGCTTGATGCAGAACCCTGCTGGGCAGATGGGTCCCCTAGCTCAGCTTGGGGAAGCAACTGGATGAGGAACCAAACGAAGTACCTAACACCACTCCCAGAATGAGCTTAGGCGTGAGGTCTCTGCCACCTGTAAGGAAGACACGCTTAGGACAGATGTGGGGAGGGGCTGGAGAGACAGAGAGAGCACAGATCACATTTTCTCCACTCAGCAATGATGTGTTCATCCCTCTGCCTTGTCAACACTTACAGCCTGTCCACACTGAGCAATATTTACCTCTAGCAGAGACTGGAAGAGAGACAGTAAGATGAAATATAGTCTCAGTATATATTAAAATTAACAGTTAAGGAGGCATCCCTGAGGAAAAGGTCACATGCAATTACCAGGGAATGGTGAGATAAGGCCAGATCCCATGGCTGTGTGGTTACAATTACTGTGATGAAACATAATTCACAAGGCACAATAGGTAAAACTAAATACAAAAAGCAAATACAAAATTACAAGCAAAATAGAGACAGGTAATGAAATTAGTTCTTCCAATCTGGCTAAGCCATTCTCAAAGCACACACATTCATAAAATAGGTCAAGATAGTCTATATTCTTTTTTTTTTTTTGGTTTTTTGTTTGTTTGTTTGTTTTGTTTTGTTTTTTTGCGGTACGCAGGCCTCTCACTGCTGTGGCCTCTCCCGTTGCGGAGCACAGGCTCCGGACGCGCAGGCTCAGCGGCCATGGCTCACGGGCCCAGCCGCTCCGCGGCATGTGGGATCTTCCCGGACCGGGGCACGAACCCATGTCCCCTGCATCGGCAGGCGGACTCTCAACCACTGCGCCACCAGGGAAGCCCAAGATAGTTTATATTCTTAATGCTCAGTGTCCTACACCCTTATTTTAAAATTTTTTATATAATCTTTGCTGTATCAGAGATGGAGACTGACGGACAAATAATGATATGTGAACTATGAAACAAAACTTCCCCTGAACTCTTCCAAGAGAAAAGCCCAAGGAAGCTGCCTCTCCTCCCCTGAGCCTTTTGGAGACAAACCACTGGTGCTGCCTTCATGCTTCCATTTCAGTACAGCAATTTATTACTCTACCTTGAAAGATGTTTTTTGAATTAGAAAGAAGTTTAAGGCCATCAACCTCAGATATGTGTTTTTATAGATGAGGAAACTAACATGCAGGTCTAAATCACACAGCAAATATGTGGCAGAACCCAGATCTCCCGATCCATTAAAGAAACAACTAAACATGTAGATAAAGATGTGTGCACAGGGACTTCCCTGGTGGTCCAGTGGTAAAGAATCTGCCTTACAATGCAGGGGATGTGGGTTCGATCCCTGGTCAGGGAAATAAGATCCCACGTGCCGCGAGGCAACCAAGCCAGCGCGCCACAACTATTTAGCTTGCATGCCTCGACTAGAGAGCCTGTGTGCCACAAACTACAGAGCCCATGCACTCAGGAACCTGCGCACCACAACTACAGAGCCCACGTGCCCTGGAGCCTGCGTGCCAGAACTAGAGAGAAGCCCTGTGCCACAACAAAGAGCCTATGTGCCGCAACTAAGACCCAATGCGGCCAAAAATAAAATAAAATAAATAAATATTTTTTTAAAAAAGATGTGTGCACAGATATGCTCACTGCAGCATTATTTATAATCACAAAACACTGAAAGTAACCAAAAGAGTAAAAAGGAAGGGCAAAGTGAATGAATTAGGGTACATCCATACAATGGACATATTATGCAGCCAGTAATGTTACATGTTTAAACACTTTTTAATAACAAGGCAAAGAGTTACGATAGAATATTAAGGAAAAAACCTGAATATAAATTTATATACTATTAATGAAGAAACTGATAGGAAAAAAAGACTGAAAGGAAATATGTCAAAATAGTAAAAATATCTCTGGAGAATAATTCAGAACATGAGTGACTTTTTTTTTTCTCTAGTTTCATACTATTTCTAAATTTCCTATACTGGGAATATATTGTCCCTGGATGATCACACATGGACATGGCCTGCTTCTGCCTGCTCTGCTTCATATTTTATGATGGTAATTATTACATAGAAGCCTTAGTGGGTCAAGTGGCCCATTTAGAGTCCCTTGACTTAAGAAGAGTCAATGAGTACCTTAATATATGTTATAAATTGCATAACTGGCTCCAGTTCTTCATTTGTCCCTCTATCCCTGTCCTTTGCCATGTAATTTTGCAGTGCCCTCCCACTGGGGACTAATCCCTACCCTGGGATTGGCCACATGACTGGCTTTGGCCAAGAGGATGTTAGCTTTGCAACCCAAGTAAAGTCTTGAAATGCACTTGTACAACTGAACTTACACACTTGTACCTTTGCCATCACACTTATGAGAAGGATGTGCCAGGACAATCTACTGATCCCAGAAGGAGGACAGACACATAAATCAGAGTTGCTCCCAGATAAGCCTGGCCAAGATCAGCTAACTCTCAGCCTTAGACGTGTGAGTGAATCTAGCTGAAATCAGCAAAATCACCCAGCTGCCCCCGACCCTCCATGCCTAAATCAGCCAACCTCCAGCCAAGGCACAGACATGTGAACTCTAATAACAAATGATTGTTGTCAAAGCTAATGAGTTTAGTGGTGATTTGTTATGCAGGAATACAGCTGGCTGATACAATACAGCTGCATGTATATACAAGAAATTAAATCCATTACATCAGAACCTATGGCAACAAATAGTTACACCTTGTTCCCATAATAATTCCTCTAAACCAACAACTGTGAACCATATCAATAAATATTTGTAGATTGACTGACTCGATCTACCAATTATATAATAAAATAAATGATTTCAGTTGGAGAAAGTTAGCCAGTAAGAAGTTCGGTGAGAACATTCCAGTGGCGGTTGAAATTAGAGAAAAAAGCTTTCATTCTGAACTACTAGGTATTGACTTATACTCTGTCCCTCAGTGGATCAAATTGGAGAAAACAAAATGACAAATGTAACCTGTGAGGTAGGGGGTTAACAAAGGATAAAGGGAAAGGGAACCAGCAGAATATGTATTACAATTTTTCTATGTGACCTTATTTTTGTAGTTTTATTTCATTGGCAAAAGATCAGCAGAGCACCATGGCCTAGAACTTAGATGGTTGAGTTATTGATAAAACTGCAAAAACAAGATTCAGTATACACTCTATGTCCAATTTCTAAT